TACATATATATATATATATATATATATATATATATATATACATATATACATATATATATATATATATAGGAAATTTGTGCATGTAAGCATCTCATGCATGGTCATGGCAGTGATCAGTGACATGTGAACTGCTCTGATCTGGTCCAAACTTTGATTTGTGAACACAAAGCCACATATACAGTATCACAGACATCATTTGTTATCTGTGCTGTTTGCGTAGCTTGAGGACTTTATGGAGATCACTTACAATATCATAATAAAGAAGGAATACATAGGAAATTGTGTTTATTCAGTGAAAATCTTTTGATCACTGAAGCTGACAACTGCTTTTGGCATGCACGTGGTCCTGGTCATGTGTACTATAACCCTGAATAGACAAGTACAGATGACACACATTCGCAGGGTAAAGTCACTTTACTAATTTAATCTAAAGTTGATCTTTTTCAGTTATTTATTCATTTTAATTTGCTACCAAATTGGGACATTGCAAGAACCTGAGAAATGCCAGAAGCAAACACTTTTTCAAACCACTGTTTCAGTAGTTTTGCCATCCATACTGTTGTCAGGCTGTTAAGATTTGGTTAGATCTATTGATAATGGGCATTTATCATTTGGGCTGACAAACTAGATATTACTAGATATTTAACTAATGTGATATCACATTTAGAGAGTGAGCAGTTATTGTTAAGCTATCTATGGATAGCTGTCCTTTCTGATTTCTTGACCTAAGTGATTTGCATCCCTTGCAACCTTAATCATCAATAATGTGTCGTCTTGTGGGATACTGTAAAATCAGGCTGACTCTCATGCTGATGCTCATCAGGAGTTCAGCTAATCTGGCTGCTTCAACCTTGTGGTGCCCTGCACATTCTTCCTTAACTAGTTCATCCATTCTAGCTAAGATGGCAGGATTATCTGCACCACCGAGGCAGGAGGAGTGGCACAGTCATTGCTAACTAAAACCCAGCCATGTTTCATGTGTTTAAATAGTGGTGCTGCTGATAGAGGGTGTTATTTTCTTCTTACAGCGGGATTTGTTGAACGATCTTGTGGTTAATAATTGGCTCCATCCATCCATCAAGAAAACCATTAGTAATACATGTAAACATTTAATTGCTAAGGGTTTTGTTTGACTCCAGTGACCAGTATACTCATTTATAACCTTACCCACTTTCTCTTGTGCACAGGGCTGGTTGAACATGGTAGGAACTGGCCAGCCATTGCTAAGATGGTAGGCACTAAGAGTGAAGCTCAATGTAAGAACTTTTACTTCAACAACAAGAGACGATACAACCTAGACAATCTACTACGCCAACACAAGGTACGGGTACAGATCTATCTGCTACATCCAAACAAAAAGTACATTTTTAGGAGGTCACTATTTCTGTGTCTGGATATTTAAACTACTGTACAAAAATTTGGGGTCAGTAAGATTTGTGAAAGCAGTCTCTTTTGCTCTTTTAGTCTGCATGTAATCAACAATACAATAATAAAAAACTGTAATATTACAAAATGTGATTTAAATGAACAGTTTTCTTTTTATCTCTTAAAGTGTAATTTATTCTTGTGATGTTAATGCTGAATTTTCACTCCAGTCTTTTTACTCCAGTATTCAGTATTACATGATCCTTCAGAAATCATTGGAGCATTTGGTGTTTCAGTAACATTGTTTTCTTATGATTATTTGAGAAATAGAAAAGTTCAGAAGAACAGCATTTAATTTAAATGCTTTTTACTGTCTTTTTACTGTCACTCTTGATCAATGTAATGTATCCTTGCTCGGGTTGCAAAATTCCGGAGAATTTTCAAGACCGGAAACTTTCCATGGGAATTAACGGGAATAAACTGGGAATTTGCAAAATTGCAGGAACTGAGAATTTAAATGTAGTTGAGAAAAAAAATCTTGCAGCATAATCTTGGTTAAAACAACCCGATTTAATGCAGTTTCAGTTGAATTTCTACCCTACACATTGCTTAATCACATGCACACTGCTTAGTGCCGGCCACACCCCCTACACGCACTGTGCTTTCCTCCATAGCATGCACTGATCATTTCTTAAATCCTGCACACAAGATATCAAAATGTCCATCTTGGTGAGTATTCATGTAAATTACATGAATATTAAAAAATATATATGTTTAAAACTTCCTTGTGCTGTGTGTAATATACTGTGCAACTAAATTAGGCTATGCCATTGTAAAAACAAATACACTGACTGAACAAACATTTAGGTGAGATGATGATAAAACAAAAGTCTAAAAATGACCTTCCCCCACACACAATCCCCCTTAGTCACTAAGAGGGGGATTCCCCTCCATTTTCTCTGAAGCCACACTTGCTGCATTTGAGCCCAAAGACTTCATCTAAGTTTTGATATTCTAATTATATTTGATCTATGGGATTCAAGCTTAACTAGTAAATACCAAAAAGAGTTTTTACAGTAGCTAGCTAGCCAGTAAATCAATATATGAAAATTCTAAGCGAGTTTATTTCATTGACTATTTAAAAGGCTTGGTATGTGCTAGCTAGCTCAAGCTGTGATGCTCTTTCTGCTAGCCAGCTTTCTGTTATCATACAGAAGTACAGTACTGGTCAATAGTTTGGACACACTACTATTTGTAATGTTTTAAAACATTGCATCTCTTTTGCTCATCAAGCCTTCATTTTATTTCATCAAAAATACAGAACAAACCCGTAATATTGCGCAGTAATACCGGTATTACAATTTAAAATAATTGTTTTCTGTTTTAATATACTTTAAAATAGAATGTATTTCTGTGATTCGTACATCATTACTCCAGTCTTCAGTGTCACATGATTCTTCAGAAATCATTCTAATATGCTGATTTATTATCAATTTTGGAAACAGTTGTGCTGCTTCATATTTTTTTTATTTCCTGTGATTCTTTTTTCAGGAGTCTTTGATGAATAAAGAGTTAAAAAAAAAAGAACAGCATTTATTTAAAATACAAATCCTTTTTTAACAGTACACTACCGTTCAAAAGTTTGGGGTCAGTATTTTTTTTTCCTCTTTTTTTTGAAAGAAATTAATACTTTTATTCAACAAGGATGTGTTAAATTAATAACAACAAGTAATAGTAAAGACATATTGTTAGAAAAGGATTTCTATTTGGAATAAACACTGTTCTTAAGTTTTTATTCATCAATAAATCCTGAAAAAAGCATCACAGATTCCCCAAAAAAATTCTAAAAATGTCATTTTTAAAATTTGTATTAGTTTGCATGCATGTCAGCTTATGATCAAACAAAATGTTTATATTTATGTTTGTATATGATACAGTTTTATAAATTTCCCCAAATTTCCAATTAATTCCCATAAATTCCTGGTAAGTTTCCCCGGACTTTAACCATAATAATAATAATATTCGATTAATAAAAATAGTAATAGACAGTCATTCAGGTCTACAATTTGTGTGTTTATTTATTGATAGGAAAAAGTGCGGAAAAAGACGAAGTTCCCATGGAAAGTTTCTGGAAAATTTCCGGACATTTTCCGCCCTTTTGCAACCCTAATCCTTACTGAATAAAATGATTAATTTCTTTTAAAGAGTTCCTATTATGCTCTTTTACAAAGTCTTGATTTTGTTTTGGGGTGTACTAGAACATGCTCTCATGCTTGGTGGTTCGAAAAACGCATTATTTTTCACATAATTTACATGATTAAAATACCTTTCTCCCCATCCTGGCACAAACGGCTCGATTAGTTCCGGCTTTGATGAAGGCCCGCCTTCCGAAAAACAAAATGTGTTGTGATTGGTTAGCTGTCCCAGTGCGTTGTGATTGGCGAACAGCTTAGACGGTGTTTCAGTACTACCACGCCCCTTGCTCCGTCTTTCAACAAAAGCTTTTGGCGAATCCGGCACTGTACTCCCTCGTGTTGTGGAAG